CGGGGTGGTATATTGCCTACACCTATCCAGCAATCGCGCGTATAACATTGCGAGCGAGCATCGCCATCAGGGCACTCCGATCGCATTACGTTGTTTATTATTTCTTGTATCGGTCCAGCATTCTGCATGACCGGATTTTCTTGTGATTTGTATTCACTTATTTTTATCAGTATTATTTGTTACTATATGTGCAAGGACAGTAAAAAAAAAATTCATTAATTAGATTAGATAAGCGTACAATTAGCAAAATACAAATAGAACAAGAGGAGAAAGAAGCTTAAATAACATACTCACGGGCAAGATAGCCCCTTACAATCCGTAGTTAACTCCTTACACTCACCAATTCTAAACTAAGACAATTTTCTCTTTACATGTGAAGATTACAAAACAATCAGTTAGCCTAGATTATAGTTCCCTTAGACCCCTTAAAAATAGCCAAGGAGAGTCTCTCCACACCGAGGGCTTCCGGCTCCCATGTGGCTTAGGAAAAGTCCATGAATTCGCCCATAGTTTAGCCTCTTACGAAGATAGCAGTTTCGCCCACACGGATGCCCTAGCAAGCATGCACCGGCTGCCTCCTCGAGAGGTCCTCCAGTCTCTGAAGTCCACTGACCCATCTCTCCCTTACAATTTTGCTTTGGGTTCGGGCATGGATATAACTTGAAGGACGCAAAGTCGGAAAAAAGGTCGCCACTCTGTTCGGTGAAACCGTCGAAAAGGTGGCCTAGTTGATATCCCAGGGAGTCTCCTTGCTTTCGTTAGAGATCTGGAGTAGGTCCGATATAGGCGTGCCCCACCCAACTTCATTTTTTCCAAGCCAGCACCTCGGGAGGGGATAGAATCTTGACATAACAAAAGATCCAATCTGCAACGCCGTTTGCACATCCGCAACCCCTCACCGGGCTTCCTATATCTCCAGGGTTCCCCTCGGGTTATTGCCTTCCATTAGACTCATCCTCAGTGTCTGACGAATCACAATAACTCTCTAGGGTTGTATATGGTACGGCAACTTTCTTCAACTTCTCAGATCAGGTTCAGGCTCAAGTTCAGGGATCGTGGTTCAGGTCAAGCTCCAGGCTCAGACCTCAATAGTCTTCTATAGCATTCCGACGGTCTTCACTCTGGGTTCGGATTCTATGTCATAGTTTTCCACTTGAATTCTCGTTAGAGTAAATGTCTGATGACCCATTGGCATCTACAAATAAAAAAGTTACTAACTTAGTTAGGTCACGAGAAATACAGAATTAACTTAAGTTTTCTTAATTTGTAAAAATATAATACTACCCATGGCCAAAGGTTCAAACCTAGGCTCTGATACACGCTGTTGACGCCCCAAAAAAAATTTTTTTTTTTTTGATTGAGACGTCATAGTTTTACTAACAAAACTTGCTAGATAAATTTTTAACTTACTAGTTAGGAACTTTTAAGTTCTTTACCAAGCCAAAGTCCAAGCGAACAGAAGAAAAACTACAAGTTCCACACACACGTCACAACATAGTTTTAATCCTAATACAAGGGATTTAGACAGGATTTTATCTGACAAATATATTGACTCGTAAGTCAGCCAAGGCTTCGATATTGGCAGCAGCTCCAATTTCAGCCTCAGCGTCCGTCTTCAACATATCTGGCATGAAAACGCCAGGTACCACAAAATATATGACCATGAGTTTTGCAAACACATAAGAAACGTAACCAACCTACCATTCTTTTTAAGAGACAAATAATAATATTCTGAAACATGAGTAACAATGATTAATTATACACGAAATATACAACATTAGAATAGTTTCAGATAGATTTTAATAAATTTAGGTGACACTCGGAATTCTCACCAAAGGAGATTTAACTCACCAACCACTAAGCATTGGCAAACGGTTAATTTGAAACCCTCCTTGGTTCAAATAATTAAAGTGTTATCCAACCGTAACTACCAGGGATGCCCACGTCCGGAGTTATATACCCAAGTGAGTGGCATCCGTGGTCATGCCCAGGAAACGGTCTTGCAGGGGTAAAACAGACTTTTTTCCCTTTGTGTGCACCTGCACATCCACCCTATTCCAACCGGAATACGAAAGGGTTAAATAAGTCCCGTGGCCATCTTAGAGTATTCGCACACATTTACGTGAAGAATTCTCAAAACCAGGCTCACCCGCTGAAACAACCGGTGTAACGTGCAACTCTAATAATTCCGTACAGGTCTCTGTAAACCAAGACTCAGCCCCGAACAACTGGATTGAACCGTCAAATTGAACTTTGTTATATGTCGTTATCATTTCAGATTAATTTTGATATAATCACAAATAACTCCAATTTTTAATCACAGAGTAATTTGTTTACCAATCATTAAAATTCCCAATCATAAAATATTGCATGTGTCACACAATACTAAATAAAAGTACAAGAATTTAAATAAACATATTATTTAAACCATGTATGAAATATAACTTAGACTGACAAGAATTAAAACCCTAACACACACATGCAGCAAATTTTCGATTTACAAATTTAGACTAGCATAATATTAAAGTGGCGATTTTATTTCTGTCCAGAAAATTTTCAGAGCTATATATTCTTGAAATAAAATTATAAATACATTACTTATACAAACTCGTAAAATGTCATATCAATCTTGCAGGTGATGAACTCAAGTAAACATGGTTGATGGTTTTTTTCAGAAGATTTTCCCAAAAATATACTTATAAATAATTCATAAACCAAATTCCAAGGTGTTTGATGACACAGATTTGTCACAGTTCCTTATATTTTAATTCCATGCTTGAAAATTTATAGATCAAACCCATAATCTAAGGAATTTATTATGAAACGTAAGACTTCTAATTCCATTTCTAGTCAGAATATTTACAGGGATATTGGCTTAGTATAAGAATTTTAAAATAAATTTTCAAAATAATGGTAAAATCGTAATTAGTATGTCTCACAGTTCAGATTCAGTTTAGAAATTTGTAATAAATTCGTAGAAAGCTCAAAAATTGTTTCCAAAAATGTCTAGATAAACTAGACATCATTGATCAAACAACTTTATAGAGAAATTCATGCTCGGAAATTCTGAGCTATAAATTGTCTAAAAATTCGGGTAGCATGCTGGCAGATTCAAAGACAGATTATTCTCAACACGAGTTTTCAGATTTAGTTAAAATTTTTGATAAATTCTATAGAAAGCTCAAAGAATTGTTTCACAAAATTTCTAGATAAACTAGACATCATTATCAGCAACTTTCTATAGAAGAAATCATCTCAAAATTCTGAGTATAAAATTTCTAAAAATTCGGGTAACATGTGCAGATTCAAGACAGATTTATTCTTCAACACAGTTTCAGGACAATGATATCAAATGTACCGTAATCTGAAAATATTTCATGATATTAAACAAAATGAGAGTTCGTTGAGAGGGTTTTCTTACTTAGTAAATTAGAAGTGAGAAAAATGGTGAGAATTTTTGGCGTCTTTAATCTCCTAGCTCTTCTTCCTCTCGCTGAACACAAGCTTGGTGGCATTGGGGATTTTCTTCTCTTTTCTTTTTTTTTTTTTCTCACCGGATTAGCTTGCATGCACAAGGAAGGCTTGCATGCGAATAAATATGAAGACATCTCTCTCTCCCTCATCTCTTTCTATTATTTATTTCCCAAAACATTCCATTCCCTTCTCCAATTTTCTAAGAGCAAACCTTTACTCTAATTTTTCATAAGTTCTTCCCTAAAATTTTGATAAAGGATGGGTGGGGTTTGGTAGAGCCCATGGTGTTTGCCTATGGTTTGTTTGTTTGTATTTTTTTTTTTTTTTTTTTTTTTTGTGTGGGTTCTTGAAAAAATTGACGCACTAAGATTTTTAACTAAGGTATTTAGTAAATAGTATTATATTGAATCATAATTTAAAGATAATTTCATAAACAACAGAATATTGAACCCACCAAAATTATTATTCGTTAATAATGTCTTGTTAGTGATTAGATTGAGTCAATTTAAAACTAACTTGTTACATAATGTATAATTCAGAAGACGTGAGACAAATTAATTAATAATTTTCTTAAAAAGAATAATTAAAAAGATGGGTTATTCACCACATTCACTTGCTTTGATCCTCTAATCATTAACGTGTACTTCCTTCGGAGGTTCACCTCCGTCGACATGACTGAGTACCTGGTGAGCCCGCCTGCTATCGTCCATTGCGCTGGGCGACCACTTGCCCCCCATTTTTGAACACCAGCATGACGTATCAATGGTATAGAGATGATTATTAGAGTGCAAAACTTGAGTTTCTATGGAATAACTTCATCAATGGTTTTGCAACTTTACTATTTGTTAAAACAAATCTGTTACCTCTTACATCCGCGTGTGTAAACATCGGTCCTTCCAGAATCTGGACTGCATTCGCTTCCGATTATTAATGCCTAAAAACAAACAAGTATAAGCTAATATTTACTTCAGAATGCTTCGATTTCTGCGTTTTTGAAAAGAGTTTGAAAAAAGGGTTGCAACTTCAAAGAAAAAATGAGTTCCACATGTATGGAAGTCAATATATCCAAAGTTTAAGCAAATAACCTCATTCCGGCCAACATCCAAAGAGACCTAAACATTAGCATTGTAATAACCCAAAGTATTTAATTTTTTTAAATAGTCAGGTACATAATTAATTGAGCAAATTATCGGAATTTGGAGTGCTGTTGTAAAATTCTTTGCAATAAATAGTTTTAGTTTTTGAATTTTTTTAAAAATAGGTAACCGATTTCAGAAAAATTATGATATTTTATTGTTGTTGTCCCTTAATGAGTTCTAGTCATGTTGGATAACAAATCTTCGAATTAATGGATGGAGTATTTATTTTATAAAAATTCGACGACTGATTGGTGTTGAGTTTAATTTATTAGCAGAATTTTTTTTATTAATTTTGAATGTTTAGACCATGACTTGAAGATTAAAAATTGTGTTGGGTC